TTTGCTTCTTTCTTACGGAAACATTTTTCACATTACGGAGAGGATGAAAACAAACTGAAAAATAGTACGAACTTTTTCGATGGACCAAATGTCGAAACGTGGATACTCCTTTGCTCGGTATCACACTGTAGCTGTCGTTCAATTCGTAGGAACCGGAAAGCGATGTATATTTATTTGACTGAAATAAATTTTGACACATTAGGAAATGAAATATCTTGAAATTTGAGGGCTTGAACTTTAAAAAATTTTGGGTATTACCTTGAAATTTTCAAGACTTTAACTTAAATGGATGAAAATTCAAAGTGGGCAGGAAAGAAGATGCTAAAAGGGAAGGAAGGTGAAGTGAAGGCGAGCGAAAGGAGGAAGGAAAAAAAAACAGCTGCTCGTATGATGCTAAACTCCGAGTGATAAACTGGCGAAAGCCTGAGGGTGTACGAATGTGATGGATATCAGTTGGCGAAAAGGTGCTTTCTGTTTCATACAGAACAAGTCTTGGTAATGTCCACTTTGCAGAATTTCGTATACGGCAATAGAACTGCTTCTTTCACAACATATTTGCGGTAAAAGTCTCAGTAATTTCTATCTTTTCTTTGTTGAGCTTTCAGATGACAGAAAAATTTAGCGTATAGGAGTGGTCACCCGCTCTCGTTCGTCTTCCTCGTCTTCTTCCTCTACTTCCTGCTCGTCTTCTTCATCTCCATGAACTGTAGCGCGTTCCTGTAGAAAAAAGGTCATTGCAGGTCATATTAATTCACAAGCCCATCATTTACTCAAGGAAATTGGCTGCGAAAGGTCTGGAAGTACCCCTTTATTATTTAAAACTTACTGCACTCTGTCTACGTCCCATAAATAATCTCGAAGAGAACGTTTCTTGTAAGTACTGTTCACGCAATTTTCGATCATGCAGAGCTGGAAATAGAGTGGCACCGCGATACCAACGTAATGGCTCATCTCGTTGCCATTTCCTTTCGATTACAGAGTTCCCAAAATTTTTGCGTATCCATTGGTAAAGCTCCTGATGTCCAACACATCGCTGCCTTTTGAATGCGTTCCATGGAATTTTTGCATTACAAAAACGACATTCCTGTATATCTGGGAAGCGATCCTCGTAATCAAATGGACTTTGGAATTTTTCCATCATCAGATTTTGGAATGAACTGCGCCCGGATCCAACCAGTGGCCTTTCAGACGAAAGTTTAATCGCTTGTGGCTTATGATCCCTTCGCAGCAATATACAATATTCTGAAATATGCAATGACTCACATTTATCTATGACTCAAGAATACAGAACCTGTCAACTCAGCTGATGTTAAACTTATTTCTTGGCGAAAGAAAAGAAACAGACTCGAAGCACTGCGCCAAGTAAAGCATTTTTTTGTCACAATTTATAGAAATTTTTCCGAGACAGTGCCTACCTCTTCAATATCATTGCTCTGAAGGCAGTGAGTAGGAATGAGAAATGTGATCGTATTGAGAAAGTTGAAAAGCGAGAGTTGGATATGATGGAGGGAGTAATGGGACGACGGATGCTTGGCGTCTCTCTCTCGCAACTATATAAACAGTTATTCGCCTGTTAAGCGACGTACACAATTTCATTGCGAGTGCACGAGAAAGTAAAATTCGACGGGCAAGGCATGTTGCTCAGCTTGCCAACAACAGATGAATATGTGCATTAGTGAATGGTACTTGCAGAAAAGTAGACGACCATTCCCAGAACCTCCGAAGAATTAGTATACAAGATGCTCCCAAACATCAAGCAGGCGTTAGATACCGCCTGTAGATGCCCGTTCCAAAAACGAAGGGATAGCTGCCCTCTACGCATGGGAGCATCCTAGTAACCTCACTCGCATCGGATACCCACAGTGATCGCCGAGCGGTCTTGATATTATGGTCTGTTTTTTGGGTACCTTTTGCTTTTCTTATTGACAAATTCTAACTGACAATGGTATCTCAATGCCTAAGTTCTGTGCTTCACTAATGAGATTCCGTGCTCAGAAATGCAAAAGAACTTTCCACATCTGCTGAACAAACTACACATTTCTGACTATTTTTTTTAAAATAATCTGGAGAAATTAAGGTTTCAAAACTAACTATTCTGAAAAAAATGTGGCTCGCGCGGATCTTTCTGTTCTTCCAAGCGTAACCTGTTATCGTTAGTAATATTTCCACCACAGGTGTTAAACGTGAAGCAAGAGCCATCGCCGAAATCGTCTTTCAACCCACCAGCAGCTTGGGTATGCGATCTTATCAAACAGTGTAGGCCGCCCAGTGCTTTGAGCGCCAATCGAAGACCTGAGCGGTTGAATCTATAGCCCATTGGCTTGTGTGATGATGCCGCGAATGGCCTACAAACAGAGCTCTGTTAGGCACTCTCCAGCTTCTTAATAAAAGCCTTACAAGCTTGCACGATATTTAATTCACAAAATGGTGGTTTAATTACAAATCTGATAGGGGCCAGTGTTCATCAAGTTGCTTCGGCATGAAAGCTCCAACTCTCACTTCATAGCTATATCAGGTCCTTCTGTCATAAGCTACATGCTTTCAACTTGTGCCCGCTTTCGCTCTTACTTCATCTACGTGGTGTCCCGGAAAACCCGCGGAAGGCCGAATAAGAAGTCGCCATAAAGAAGAAGGGAGCGTATCCTACTTGGAAGGCAGATACACTGTGAATGTGCTGCCAGATTGAACTTGGAGCACAAGGACCGGTGGTGTAGTGGAAACACAATGCGTTCGGATGCGGAGTGGGTTGGTTCCCTTCCGGTCCAAAACAATTTCGAGAAAGGGCTCCATCACGATACTTGAGGTCTGTCCGATTGGCCGCTTCCCTTTTAAAACTTTTTTTTTAGGAAGGTAATACCATGACGTGAGAGGCATTCTGAAAAATTCCAATCCATTTTCGATTCTTTGGAGACTGAGACAAAACTAGTGCATTACCTCTCAGCTAGTAAGCTTGCAGAAGTGAAGGCGATAGAACAAAAAACAACTGAAATAGAGTTTTTTATTTACGTGCTGCAACAAATACCACAATGGCCAGTTCTGTAGTCTGAGAGAGGGGGAAACTGCAAAACTAAAAGAATAGAATGCAAGAACGCAACAATCCACTTGAGAAACTGAGGACCAGCTGAGCTAAATTTTGAATCCTTGAGTAATGGCAGTCTGATTTTAATAAGAACGAAGAAAAATCCCGTCAAAAAAAGAGTCAAAATTCAGTTGACTGAACAACGTCGAGAAGCGGGAATTTTAGAACTACAAATCTGGACGCCAAAGTAACTGCTACGCAACCGCATCGTAAAATGGGCTAGAGTGAGTCAAGTAGAATTGTTCTAATTGAACAGAACAGACTTCCGTGTACCCTTTGCATAAATAGCTTATTGCTGTGGCTAATTTCAAAATCCCTTTTGTATTCGCATCCTATGGGAGACAAATCATACGGAAGTCGCTGTGGTGGCACTTAACAGATGACTAGTATTACCCAGTCTCTGCGCAAAAGCTAATGATTACAAGCACTGTTTGTTTGGCTGATATAAGACTTAAGTTTACCGGTCATAACCGAGTGATGCATCGGGACAACCGTGCAGAATATCAGTCAAGAGCACAGCGTTAAGTAGGGACATCCTCGTGCGATAGGTCGGCCGCTTGATTGTATTGATAATCTCCCGACTTATCATATATTGTGATACACCGCTATGACAACACAGGTAGCGATCTGGAATTTTACACCTTCGCCAAAACACTACCCGAAAATCCCAGCCAAACTCCTCGATTTCACACATGAAAAGCTCGATGTTGCTGCATTGCGAATACAGAGCTCTTCCACCCTTTTTTGTCATAAAATCCTGGTTTTTCATCACTTTTAAATCTCGTGCTCATTGCTCCGACTCCTGTTATCCTGAATTTTTTCCTTTGAACTGCAACTAACCTCAATTTTTTTTTGCTTGACAATGTAACTAACCTCCAACGATAGCAGCAATGGGCATTACATCGAATAGCATATTGAATGCAAAAAATAATCGCTCGTTTTGAACCTAAAAAATTGAATTATAGCGCTAAAAAGAATTTCTGCCACAAGAAGAATTTCTAAAAAGCGTTAAGAAGAATTTCTGAGAAAATTAAGGAAGGCGGGCCAACTAATTTTTCTATGAATTAGATAATAAAAAAACATTATTGACAGGTGCAATGTTTGAAAACATCGCCATTTTGTAATAGTATCAGGACTTTAAAAAAATCTGCATCTCGGACATTTTTGCTGAACCATTTTCTCTTTGCAAAAAACATAAATCGTGAGAGAATCGAACTGCGCGTCCGTAGCATCTCACCATTTTCCGCATTAAATGCTTTAGCATTATCGACTCTTACGCTCCACACCCAGCAGTTACAGCATATGATTCTGTAATTACACCAGCCCCAAACATTTTGCGACGACTAGTTGCTTTCTAAAATTCCGCACATACTCGCAAACCTAGCGTTTAAAACATGTATGCGAAAGTTTCTGTGAAAGAGTAGTCGTGAAAGTCTTACGTTAGAAATGGTGTGAAGAATAAGTGGTTCTGCGTAGAAAATGAAAATGAATTCTACATCAAAACTGTATCTAGGTAAAAGCATACATTCCACTGTAAAACATAAGAAACATTAAACTTTTCGTAAAGTACAGGAAAAGTGTGCTTCGACAGGGTAAAAACTGAGTTCTGTACAAAAAAAACTTAGGAACATTTTGATAAAAAAGCTGATTTCGGGAGATGTATTCGTAGGTCTCTTTATGTCCTCTCAAAAGGAAGATATTTTCTGGCCAGCGAGTCTTCATCAGTACGAGGAGCAATAAGAGTTCAATCTGACAGAATTCGTTAATGCCGTCCATATAGTCACCTGCAACGCCATTTCATTGTATAGAAAAGACTTTTCATTTGGAAAGCAAAAAATGAATTTTTCTCGAAAATTTTGAAGCGAAAATACAAAAAAGTAATAAAATTCCGGATTTTCCTACAAATTAGTTAGCATCTACAAGATTATAGCAAACGTACCAAGAAAAAGGTAAAAAGTGTCAGGTGGTAAGCCGAATTCTTCAAAAATAGCGCACAGTTGGAACAGGTCAGCATTCAAATCGCCAACCACATAAATGCCATCCGGTGGAAAGCTTAGCTCCAGTAACATTGGCTCTTTCAGTAGCAGGCCAGCACATGTGTGTAAAATCTGGAAAAGTGAGCGAAATGTGAGGAAACAGAAGTCCCCGAAAAGCTGACTAAAGTGAAATGGGTATGCAGCTAATGCCAAGTGATAGAAGCCCATAGAACAAAAGTGGAACATCGAATTTGCAAACTCTTGACAAACTCGCTCTGGATTTGAAGACTCAGTTTTTGCACTGTTTGAAAATGAATTTTTTTTTTAACATAAACAGTCTTTGGCAGAATTCATCCTCTTCTGTATAACTCATCATCTCGCTGGCGGACCTTATTTTATGGATCCTTAGACCCTACCCAGATTTTTGCCTTTTTTGAACAAATCACTCTGTAAATGTATCAGTTCTCTTCGTTTCTGGTCGCTTTTCGGCAAAATTTCTTTGCTTGCCTCTTCCAAGCACTTTTTCAACATAATTCAAATTTAAAACCTCAGCCTATAGAACTCCTCCTGCCGACTAAGCTAGTCTTATTTTTTGTAGCCATTTGGAGTTAGGCTTCTTGCATTTTCATGCTGGTCTCACAAGAATGTTTTGCTTATACCCATAAGTACTGCTCAAGTAAGTCCACTACAGTTTGCTACTAAGGTGAAAATAATTCGTTACTGTATGGGCCATCTTACTGGTTGTTCATTTTCGACAAGGTTGTTAGCATAGCAGTTCTTTTCTCCCTTTAATTTTTCACCACAAATTCTTAGCCTCGCTATGGGTCAACAGGATTTCAAATCATTTTTGTTGCCGAGTTCCGTCTGGCCTTGCCGTACCGTACTTAAATAGTTTGTGAGCCGTTTTGTTTTCGCGCTTCACAACTAAGAGATAGGTGTATTGGTTCGTCCAACCTTACAATCGCCACTAACGGCATTTTTCCGAGTCATGTGTCATGTAAAATTGGCTGAAGTGTCTGTTATCTGGACGACTTTGGCAGCGCTGGACATCAAGAGACTCTAAAATGACGTCTCCTTCGCCACTGCTTCGGACGTTTCGTGAAACTATTGTGTTCTAATCAACTAGAGAATAGAAGCTTTGAGCAGTAGGGCCTACCTGCTCCAGCTCATTAACACTGAATTCGTATTTGGTATTGAATGTATAACGAAAGCAGCCGAGTAGACGCATAATGCGACACTCGACGGTCGCCTGGAACTTGGCCCATGGCCCCACATCAGGATCTTGTAGTATCCGATTGGTTAAACGACATAGCGCTGGTGCCGCTAAACGAATTCTCTGTTAACTAAGGTTGCTCGAAATCACATCAGTATAACACAGGGCTAAGTAAGAATAAATGGCAACGCGCACCAGACTAGCCGGTGCGATCATGCGTTTTGTGCAATTCAGCCCA